TCACTTTCTCTGCTGGGAAAGGATCCCAATTTTCTGCTAGCACACATGGGTCCCTGGAATTGGCTGCCCCCCACCCCGCTTCAGCAGGAGAGACACCCAGTTCAACCCCGAGTCTCACTTGGGGAGGGGGCTCTCTCACACAGCTGCACCTCTCCACCCCCCACCCCCACCCGGAGGAAGTTCTGTTTATTAGAGCCAAAAGCCTTAATCAGTTTATCAGTATGATTGGCCCAACTAATGCTTTAATTGCAGATTAAATGTGCCCCTGATGAATCAGTGGGGAGCCAAACACTCTGAAATTGGGAAGCCTGAAGGGGGCACATGGGCTCCGAAGAGGCAGCTGCATCCGGAGTTGGTGAAATGGGCGCACCACATCGATTTAGATCTAGCCGATAGCTGGGAAAACGGGCCCTTCCAGGGACTCCTTCCGAAGATCTTGTATGGTGTCGCTTTACCAGATTTACAATACACATCTGTCCAATTCAATTCATCTGATTTTTTTTAAAAAAGAAACCTATGACACACCACTGTTATGGGTCCTGCCTGCAGCCTTCTGTCGTAGGGGTTCAAGTATGTGCCGCAGAGAGAGAAAGAGAGGGAGAAAGAGGACACGAGAATTAGGGAGCCGTAACCACAGGGGCTGGATCAGCCTGAGTGCCTTCGTTTTGTCCCATATTAGCGCTTTCTAAAATAGCGTGTGTTGAAACTGGACTAGCGGTCTGGCTTCTGTCATTCATGCTCTGTTAAACTCTTGTCAGGACTGCTGTAATGATTGCTATGTGAGGCAGCCCTTGAAAAGGGCCTGCTGCGGAAGGCAGAGGGCTGATGATTATCTGGGCCTAATTAGCAGGGTGGTCTTAATCCCCTCTTGGTGGATTCATGCAACAGAGCCACAGGCACCCAGTGGCTTCCAGAGAGAGAATTCCATGAGCTGCAACTTCTCTCCTGCAACTTGGATGAGGAAAGGGGCTGTTGTGAAGGCACAGCTCCACAAGCAGGCTCTGCCTCTGTCGGTCCTCCTTGCATGGAGGTGTTCCTTCCAGTTCCCCAGTTGTGACGGCTACACCTTCCCTCGGTCCTCAGGGGCCACCACGCACTCTGCAGTTGCTCCTTCAGCCGCCTGGGGGGGGAGGGGGAGAGGCTGTGTCCCAGAGGGGTTGCTCCAGGGGCTGTAGAAAAAGGCATTCTGGACTAGAGGGCCTTTTTTCAGCTGCGCCAGATCTGGCACCATCCTTATGGCCTTCAGGTTCCCCAGGGGTCATTGAAGAAAAAATGAGCCCACGAATGGCCACTCTGTGAGTGAGTCTAAAAGGACCTCCTGAGATGAAGGAGGGAGCCAATCGGATGGGGAAAGGGTCTGGCTGCCCAGTCTCCACTGGAAAAAGGGTGCACTGCCTGCCTGCCTGCCTGCCTGCCTGCCTGCCTGCCTGCCTGCCTGCCTGCCTGCCTGCCTGCCTGCCTGCCTGCCTGCCTGCCTGCCTGCCTGCCTGCCTGCCTGCCTGCCTGCCTGCCTGCCTGCCTGCCTGCCTGCCTGCCTGCCTGCCTGCCTGCCTGTCTGTCTGTGTGTGTGTGTGAGAGAGAGAGAGAGAGAGAGAGATGCTGTATTGTCTTGTGCCTGCAGAGATAACGTCCTTCCAAGTTTGAGGCAGAGCTCCAGCTACTTCTGCTCCCTGGGCCTCCTTTGACTCCTAGGGTGGCAGCCTGACCTGCCTCTGGCCTTCAGTAGTGGTAGCAGCAGCAGCAGCAGAAGAAGAAGAAGGCGGCAGGGCAGGGCAGGGCAGTTTCCAGCCTTCCAGACAGGAATGGCTGGGGCTCTGGGCTGTGACCAAGCTCCTTCTGCAAGGCTGTTCCCATGCATGCATGCCTGTCTTCTCCCGAGCCTGGGTGGCTCCTGAGGCTTCCAGTGCTTAGCCAAGCTCCCCTCTAGCTCTTCCTCCTTATGGAGCTCTATGTGGCCACCCATGTGCCCTACTGCTCAGCCTAGGCATTCCCCCCCCCCAAGTGGGCACCTGCCTCGCCCCTCCAGGGTGCTGTGTCGGGAGGTGCTGGGCCAGCTGCTCTGGCTGCCAGCCAGTGACTTGGGAGCCGAGCGGCTCTTGCAGACGCATGCCTGGCCTTGACCCTCCCTGCTTCTGGGAGAGACTAAGAAGACATCCTTAGAGGGCCCCGTCTCTGGAGAGCCCCTCACTGAAGCCTTTGCTTCAGCTTTCCATCCAGACATCGCCCTACACGCGGGGTTCATTTGTTGTGAATTAAAGAAACATACTGGAGCAGGCGAATAAATTTGGGCAGGGTGGACAGCAGATGGAGCTGCAGCCTCCGAAAGCGGCTCAAGGCTGTGGCTTCCTTTAGGGATTCAATCCATCTTGTATTTGGCCTTCCTCTTTTCCTGTTCCTTTCTACCTTTCCCAGCATTATTGTCTCTCCCAGAGAATCCTGCCTTCTCAGGATAAACTCAGAGCAGGACAGCCCTCGTTTCAACATTTTTGCTTTCTTTGAGAGAGTTCAGGCTTCATTTGATCTTGGACCCGCTTGTTTGTCTGTCTGGCAGTTCAGGATATCCACAAAGCTCTCCTCCAGCACCACATTTCAAAGGAACCAATTCCCCCCCCCCACGTCCACCTTGTTTCATGTGTGTGTTTGAAGAGGACCCTAAGCCAGGCAGAAAAGCCCATGGCTGGAGCCACTGGTTTGTACGTATGCAGAAAGTCCCAGGTGGCATCTCCCGAGACAGCCAGGGAAGGATCCTGCTTTGAGAGCCGGGAGACAGGCATGGCTGCTAGTCTGAGATGGCTAGACTTGGCTAGAGGGATGCAGAGAGGATGACGTGGGAGGAAGGCAGAAGGCCGCTGCGTGTGGCTCTCTCCTCTCTCGGGTGACCCATTCATTGTTGGGGATGGGTGGGAGGCGGCCACCCTCCCTGCCAGCCCCACAGCCCTCCTCCCTCAAGACCCCAGCCCTGCCTGAGGCCTCCCCCCCCCTCTTATCCTTCCTGGGACTGGGAGACACGGAGAGCTGCCCTCTCCCCCTGCAGTGCAAGAGCCTGTGGTTGTGCCCAGCCAAGCTGAGCCATGGTTAGGGAGGTAGGACTTGGGACTGCATCGCCTTCTTCCAGGCCAAAGTGGGTTTGCTTTTGTCTCAGAGACCCTCGTTCCTGGACGGACCGGGGGGGGGGGCAGGGTTGCTCTGATCCCAGGCTGAACAGGCAGGAGGAGACCGAGGAACACGCAGGCGAAAAGCTCCCACTAGATCCCGTCGAGGGGGTGGGAGGGATGCCAGGAGGGCTGACGGACGCCCCTCCACAGCAGCCCCCTTTCTGCTTGCCTCTTCCTCCTCCTCCTCCTCCTCGGCCTCTGTTCAAAGGGACGGGGGGGCAGAGAACTACCTGTCTTTGGCTGGGCAATCGGCTCTTCAGAGGTCTGCCCATTAGTGTCCGGGTGGCTGGCGCGCTCGCTCTCTCTCTCTCTCTCTGTATGTCTTTTTTTTCCCCCAAAGATCGCCGCTGCTTCGGATACCAGTATTAATGCAAACGCGTTTGCAACACGGACTATTATTTTAAAGTTGATCTTGATCTGCGAAACAAAACAAACAAAAGCCTTCAAAGCAGGCACCCCCAGACGGAGTGTATGAAAGGTGTGGGGGTTCGGGGGGGGAAGGAAACCCAGCTATTCACCGAGTGGGAGAGATTAACGTGAACTGCCCCCCCCCGCGCGCATTTAAACTCCTGGGAGAGAAAGAGACCCACTCTCCCTCTCTTCTCTTTTCACTGAAATATAGCACACATTCCGATCCGAGAGCTTTCAGACAGTCTCAACTGATAGACGATGACAGGCAGGGGAGGTAGACTCATGACCGCACACGGAGGCAGCAGGGAAGGGGGCGGGAGAAGCGTCTTCTTGCGGACGAGAATCCTGCCTATGCGCCTTCGTTACGCACGCGTCTGCCTTTCTGCAGAGTTCCAGCGGGCCCATTTTTAGACCGGCGCGGGAGGATTAGTGGGTGTTCAGGAACCGGGAGCAGAGCCGGGCCTCCTCCACCTCCACATGCTCGGATCAAGCCCGTCAAAGACGCCCTCTCGGGAAGGTAGGGAAAGGAAGGGGATGGGGTTGGCTGTGGTATTGGGTGGCTGTGTGGGGAACGGGTGGGCTTCCCAGGGCATGGGGGAGACCATTCATTCCAGGGCCCTCCTGGGCATGGTTTCCTCAAAAGGAGGCCCACTGGGTGCGGTGAGACCTGCGCCCAAGGAGGGAGAGTGGCCCTTAGCTGACTCCTGTTCTGGCTCTACCTGGTGAATCGACAGGCAAATCCGTTAAAGTGGCACCGGTGGAGTCCCTCTAGCCCTGGCCAGAGAAGGCCTCTTGACTTCTCTGGAGGAAAGAGAGAGAGATTCTCTTATGGTGGCTCAGGACCTCATAAGTCAGCCCTTCCATTTGTTGCATAGAAGGAAGGTTCTCATTTAATCCTTACCTTTCCCTCAGATCTTGGAATATGGTGCGACCAGCTATTCTTCAGCAGAGGAGCAAGCCAAGAAAGGTCCCCCATGGCTGAGCCTGCGAGGGTCCCTCACGGTCCCTGTACAGAAGCCCACTCTCACCAAGCACCTTCTGCTTCTGCTCTCGAAGCAACGGGGGGGGGGGGGCTTTTCTGGTGGGCTCCCTGCTTCCCAAGGCAGCCACCAGAGAGCTGTGGCTAGCCTCACCTCAGTGGCCTGGCCTCCCCCA